AAGACTTCCCAACAGCTTTCTAGCTACAGCACAATGGAGGAAGATGTATGGCATTTCAAGTGCAAACCCAACCACATCAACCCAGAGGCTGGTGTGGTGCGTTCTATGGCAAGCTTTCCTGGCTTACACAGCATAAACCCAACATCCACATAGCGTACGGTTACCAGTCTCAAGCTTTAACAAGACCTACAGAGAAGGCAGCTACTGCAATGAGGGGACACTGACACTGGTACAACAGCATTGCACTAAGGTCTACATGATATAGTGAACAGAAAACATAGAGGAAAGGGGCACAGAAAGAGGGTGGCCAAGTAGATCACTGTGAGGGAAGGAGCGGTATGTAACCAGGTTCAGGGGGTGTGGATGATTCAATTGGCAGGAGGGTTACAGCAGCTTCCAAAGAAACAGAAAATCCCAGATCAGACTCCCTGAAGGTGAAGCAGTCTTTAGGAACAAGAAGCAGGGGCACCTGCTTGAGGTCTCAGGCCCTAGGAACAACTTCATGCCAAATTATGTGTCAGTGACAGGCACCTAGCAATGCTCACCACACAGTGACAGTGGCCCACACCTCAGCCTCTGAAAGGGTCTCCATACTCTATCTTGAATGGCCAGGTTTAGCAAAACTAAGTTTGTAGAAGAGAGGAGACATTGTCAGACCTTTCTGTTGATGCTATGCAATTACACCAAAACCTAAAACCACAGGGTTTAGTTTTCATTTCTGCCGAGCTGCCAAACTTTATGGCTTATGTAGCATAAAAAGAATTCTTTCATCCAAATACATTTAATTTTAAAGTTGGAAGTAATTTATTTTGTTTTTCCAGGTAGATAATATGTTTGGTATCATTATGTAAAAATAAAGTTAATTCACAAAGGGTTTAGCTGTCAAGTTCTCAGGAAAGTTAAGGTACAAATCAAGTAATGGTAGGTCCAACACCACAGTATGTGCAGACATACTTGCCATAACTTTAAGTCTGCACCAGTGTTTCATCCCCCAGAGTAGCCCAGAGCACCAAGCAGCAGTAAAAGCCTGCCTGAGAAGCTGAGTTAAGTATCCAGACAATGAGCCAGCACCAAGTCCCCTAGCAAAGCAGCTTGCCTGCTAGGGCTGGGCTGGCCATCTCAAACGGACTGGGCATGTCAGAGCAAGCTTGTGAAACCAACATGTGGGAAGTTATAGCATGCTGATGATGCCTTCATTTCAAATTAAAAATCTCAGCTGTACTCCCCAAAATAAATGCTCTCATTTATTAAGATAGTTTTACTTACACAGATCCCTTTTCATGAAATTTATACTCCAGTTCTGGTATTTACACACAGTACTAAGTTTCTCCCGAGCAGCAGCATGCAGGTCACCCTCACTGATCCACTAACTCCCCTGGGCACTGTTTTATCAGTAGTTCCTGCAACATCCTGTACCTCAGCAGTAATCTGCAGTATCCTTAGTCCTGCAGGAGGGAATCTACATCACCACTTCCCAAAAGGACAGACATTCCTGGCTGCAGGAAGGTACAGTTCTCCATGAGGCAAGAAAATGTTTAAGAAAGAGTCTGAAAATGAGTCCCCAGTTGCTAGCAACATGTGAAGATGCTGCTGACACCAAGATCTACAACCGATATCCCCAAATGCCACCAACACAAATGTAAACAACCCTGAATTGCCAGTTTTGAATTCCAGACCTAAATCCTTCATATATATACATATCATCCTCTCAGCTCACTCACATTGTATTCAACAAAGTCAATTTTAGATATGCACTATTTACAGAACACAGATTTACACAATGTGCTGTTCTGTCATGTTTTGTTAGTTATAACAATTGTAGAACCACAAGATGATTTGACCTGGAAGAAATCATCTAGTTCCAACCCCCTGCCACGGGCAAGGACACCTTCCACTAGAGCAGGTTGCTCCAAGCCCCTGTGTCCAACCTGGCCTTGAACACTGCCAGGGATGGGGCAGCCACAGCTTCTCTGGGCAACCTGTGCCAGCGCCTCAGCACTCTCATCTAATGTAAACCTACCTACCTGAAAGTTTAAAACCACTTGCCCTGGTAAATGGTCCCTCTCCAGACTTCTTATAGCATTTAACTACTGAAGGGTTGCAATAAGGTCTCCCCAGAGCCTTCTCTTCTCCAGGCTGAACAAGTCCAGCTCTCTCAGCCTGTCTCTATAACGGGGGTGCTGCAGCCCTTGGAGCATCTTCGCGGCCTCCTCTGGACTCGCTCTAACAGGCCAGATAAACACACGTATTTACCTTTACTAAGACAAGCTACTTGACAACGGTGGCAATGTCTTCCAGTTCGCTGAACTACAGGTTCGGCGCTCACGAAGTCGCCTTCTGGAGGCTTGAGCAGCCATGGAGAAGGTCGCTTTCCCAGGGGCGGCTCCGAAACGGATGATGGTGGAGGAGGAGAACGGGGGTGCTGCAGCCCCCAGTCATCTTTGTGACCCTCCTCTGGACTTGCTCAAGCACACCCATGTCCCTCATGCACCCCAGAGCTGAACGCAGTACTGCAGGTGGGGTTTCACCAGAGCAGAGAAGAAGGAGAGAATCACCTCCTTCGACCTACTGGTCATGCTCCTTTTGATGCGGCCAAGTTTCCGGGCTGTAAATGCACGTTTGGACTCATGTCCAGTTTTTCATCTACCAGTACCCCCAAGTCCTTCTCTGCCAGGCTGGAGATAAAAACACACCAACAGAACGGACCTGCTCCTGCTCCACACGGCAGTTACTTCACACCAGTGATTTCCAACTCGCACACCAGATGTACCCACTCCTGAGGTCACGCCTCGGAACTGGCCCAGCAGGGGATCTCGGCCCCCTCAGCAGCGATGGGGAAGGGAAGAAGGATGGCCGCAGGCACTCGGAGGCCACGCTGCTCCCCCCGCATGGCCGCACCACGCTCTATCAAACT